CCACTCTGCATGATCTAGAGGGCTGCTGGAGGACCAAATGAGGAAATGACACCTGCAAAGGCCTTGATGATAGACAGTGAGCCCATGAGGAAAAGCTTCAGGAACAGTGGTGATGCATAAAATACACACATGTGTGCGCACATGCACACACAAACACACACACCCTCTCTGCTCCCTATTTCTTACCACTAGGAGAAAGACTGCCAGTATTCGAAATGAGGACTGACAATCATTGCTCTTTTGGTTGTTTGAAGTTTTTTTTAGAGCCTCTTTACCATATTTCAATCTTAAAAATCTCAGGCATCTTTTCTTCTCCTTCAATTACCTTCCAGAGAGGTGGCTGGGAGTGGGGAGGGTTGCATCAGCAATGTTGAGTTGACTTCATTATCTGTGGGAACCAAATTCTGGCAAAGAAGTAACACAGTTTCCTTGGAAAGTCAAAATAGAAAGGGAGGCACACACATGCACACACACAAAGATATTGAAGATATTGACACACTCTGCCTGAAGAGCAGAGCCAAGATTTTTCATCATGAGTCACAGAAGATGATAAGAATGAACTCTTTCAATGCTGAAACAATGACATTTTACAGTCTATGGCCTTTCTTCAGTGATAGTGTGATCACAGTGGGAAGAGCAGGGTGGAAATTACAAGTGGTAATTGTAATTTACAACTTACACTTGGTCTAAGTTGTAAGTTTCCTGCTCCCTGGCTGTGTGTGCCTAAACAAGTCACCTAACTGCTCTGACCCTTATGGCCAGCATGTTAAGTCTAAAAATATACCAAGTGTTTACTCTTGGGCCAGGGATATGAATTGAGACATCTATGGGACCAGATAGAACATATAAATGAGGCAAGTGGGCTGGGTATAAAAGTAGTACTGATAAAAATAATACTAGTAATAAACACTAGGGGCAATGAGAGTGGAGAGAGCCTGCCTACCCACATGGATCATCTGTGCCCAGGTCCAGCCAACTTCTGCCATGGGGCATGTGTATCTAATGCTTCAAGTCTACTGATTTTATAAGAGAAGCCAGAAATGCACATTATGTAAAAATCTCCTGATTCTTCATTAATGCCTTAAATTTTCAAAGCACTGAGAAGTCTAAATAAAAAACATCTCTAAGGCAGATTCCCAGCCTACAAAATCTAGCAGCTGAGGGATAATTATTCTAGTCCATTTATGCTATCTTTTGAGAAATCTGTACATTCCTACTAGCTTTATCTTTCTGAAACTGGAGTTTGGAAACATTTCTCAAAATCCCAGAAGAGAGGAAACATTTTGAGTGATTTTAAAACTGGGTAATTAAGCTAGATCAGGAAAATACAACAGATAAGAATGGATAGAGTTAAGCTTAATCATGACTCCAGAAGACAAGTGAGGAATGAAGTTGGTGGAAAGCAGAACAGGATGTAATTTAATGCTACAATCACTTAAAATTGTGCTTATAAAGAAATTTTAAAGTATGAGAAAATTCTTATACTTGCAGTTTAGAGAAAAAGAACAGAATTCAAAATCATATACAAAATTTTTTTAATAACTCCTAAAGCTCATGAGCATACAGAAAAATGAGGACAACCTTTCCAAAAAACAATTTAGCAATATCCATCAAAAACCTTAACTATATTATTATTCTTTGACTAAATTATACCATTGCTATGAAATAAGAGCTACATGGAAGTTTTTATGCCCCAGGATATATATCACATGTTATTTAAAGTAGTAAAAATATTTTTAAAAGACCTAAATGCCTTAAATGGAAAAGACAGCCATTAAAAAGCACTGGTTTTTTATACAGCAATGTATGTCAATTACAACACAACAAAACTGGGGGAAAAATTATTGTTTTTAAAGACCATGTAACAGCATGAAATTCACAATATAATGTCATACCAAAAAAAAATAAAGGTTTTATATATACTTAGCAAAAAGACTTGAACAAAATATACCAAATGTTTATAGTAACTGCCACAGGAGGTAGATTGTGGGTAGGTAATTTTTAAATTTTTATTCAGGTATTTTTCATTTTCAAGTTTTATAAAGAGCATATAATACTCATAACCAGAGAAAATATTATTTCCATCATATTTTTTGAAGATTATATAAGAAGACATTCAAAGTATATTAAGTAGAAAATGGGACAAAAATTGTATGTATACTTGGATTCCTATTTTTATAAATTGTGTTTTTGTGCCTTCTTTAGAATGAACATGAACTTTTGTAATCAGAAAAATTAGACTTTAGTCTTGACTCTGTCAAAGAAATGCACACACAGCCTTTAAAGTATTCTGTTTATGCCATATTCCAAGAAACCTGTATTCATGAAGAAGAAGGAAGATCCACATAGATGGGGAGTGTGCTGTAGCATATTGGGTAGAGTGTAATACTGTTTTGGTTTTTAGGAATTATGTATTTGTATACCTGCATATAAACAGAAAATACTAATGAGAAATACATTAAACACACTTTGGCTTCTAAATATTGGTAATATAAATAGAAGAATACAGGATTGAAGAGCTAGTAAAATCCTCCGACTTCACTTTTTACTTTATACATTTTTGTGTGGTCTGAGGCTTTCATAATGAGCATTATAATTTAAAGAATGCATGATTTTAAAAATTATAATAGGTTATTTTTTAGAGAACTTTCAGGTGGACAGAAAAACTGAGCAAAAAGTACAGAGTCCCCATATAATACATAAATTTTAAAAACTGAAAACCACCACAAGGCATTTACTAGCAGAGCACTGTTGACAATGCTGGATTGGTCATCTCCAAAATGGCTCCCAGTGATCGACAGGGACCCCCTTCTAAATGCTGCCCCTCCCACCATGAGGTGGAGTTACTTCCCCTCCCTTCAGTCCGGGCTGGCATTGCCACTTGTTTTGCCCAAGAGGTTGTGACCAAAATGATATACCTATTAGAGGCATACTGAGGCTTACACTTATGCATGACAGTTATGATTAATACTTTTATGTATTTACCATAATTTGGGATAGGAACATGCACTGCCTTTTTATTTTAAAAATCGTTTTTACAAAAGGAATAGAAATTTGTTACTAAAACATTTTTTTAGTTGAAAGTTGATGGTGAAATGCTCCTCCACCTTCTAGAACCACATTGTACAGTTAATCACATTTATGTGTTTTGCTTTTATTAAACACACAAAGTAGAAAATTCAGGAGGAAAGGAAGTACATTTCCTCTATACAATTGTTCCTAGTAGATGGCAGTGCCTGTGTGGGGAGACAGCTCTTCACAGGTCTCTAACATTGTGCACAGAAGCAGAAGCACTGTTTTTTTCCCAGACTGTTTTTTTTTTTT